CAATAGGGCAGGGGCTTCAAGACCTGCTTCTAAGCACAACGTCACCTCTTGCCGTGCCCTACGTTGTTACCCAGAGAGAACTAGCAATCTCCATTTCACTGTCCTCACCTGTGGCTCTTCCTTGTCATGTTCCCCTTGCCTTGAACACTGCTCTGTCATATGCCAATACACTTGGGACTTGGTTCAGACACCATTTCCTTCCCGAAGTCCCTGGCCAGGTTAGCCATCTCCTGCAGACACCTATCGCATGCTTATCAAGCAAACTGCTATGGCCTCTTTCTAAAAAAGATTTATTTTATTATGTGTGTGGTTGTTTGGCCTGAATGTTTATCTGTGTGGATGTGGTTCTGGAAAAGGGCACTGGATCCCTTCGGACTGGGGCTCTACACAGTTGTGAGCCATCACGTGGGTGCTGGGAATCTGTGTCTCTGAAAGAACAACCAGTGTTTTTATCATTTTTTTTTTTCGAGACAGGGTTTCTCTGTAGCTTTGGAGCCTGTCCTGGAACTCTCTCAGTACACCAGGCTGGCCTCGAACTCACAGAGATCCGCCTGCCTCTGCCTCCCGAGCGCTGGGATTAAAGGCGTGCGCCACCACTGCCAGACTCTACGGGCTTCTTGAAGACCGACTGTGGACCTCATTGAGCCTGGCCAAGAATCACTGTTGATGAGTGTTGAATAGAGAGAAGTGAATGTTTGTACAGAGGCTAGACCACCACCTAGCAGGATGCTATAAAGGGGAGTGGAAGATTCTAGTATTCCTAAATTCCAACGTTCAACATTCTCTAAATTTTGGCTGAAGATAAGGACTATGGCTCTCCTCCACAGACAGCCCACTCCCCAGCTAGCCACTCCCACCCCGTGTTCTCTGCGTGTTTCTTCTCGGGGAGTCACAAGTACATGTTCTGAACATCACCCGGAAAGCAATTTACAAGATATAATTGCTGGTCGATGTGAGCCTGGCAGCCCCAGCGAGCTCGGAGTATTTGTGTTTGTGCGTCAGCTCACAAGCCTTCAGCCTTGCTCTGCGTCCTGGGGGTGGGGGCGGGGATTCTGTCTCCAACAGTGGGTTGTTAGGTTCCAAAACAGGACTTTGACCAGCCAACCCCAGTGAAACCCTGCTCAGGGTGAGCGAATTCAAACCCGAAAAGCTGAACTCGGGTGGGGGTGGGAGCTTTATGGAGCCTGTGATATACAGGCGGCAGCTCATTCTGTTCCACCCGTGTCCATCCCATAGACACGGGGTCCCGGGAAGCAGATCCCACCAGATTCCTGGGTTCTGCTCTGTGTGAGGTCTCTGACCTCTGTGACCAGAGTCCACAAAGCTTGTCTTTGTTCTTCAGGGCCACTTGTGCTGTGAGGGAGGTCCCAGGGTAGCAGCCGCAGCAGCGGCGGCGGCGGCGGCAGCAGCTGGAATTCGTTAAACATGCAAATCTAGGGGACTCGCTTCAGCCCTGCAGACTGAGGCTGGGGTGAGGCGTGAAGACCAGCAAACTGCGTTTTGTTTCTGTGCCTCACACCGGGTCCGGGTACAGGCCTGTAATTCCAGCTACTCACGAAATCAAAGCAAGAGGGTCACAAATTCAAGGCTTGTCTGGAAAATGGAGAGAGTCCATGGCTCAAAATAAGAGCACAAGAAAAGTTGGAGGTGTAGGGTGTGTGCAGCCCTGGGTTCCCCCCTCAACACCCAAACCAAACCCAAAGCCAGAGCTGACTCTGATGCAACCAGAAATTCGAGAACTGTTGCGTCAGACTGATGAGGAGACCCCCCCCCCCACAACTTCCTTGCATTCTTTGGATTTGCCACTGTCTCTCTTTGTAAACAGCCAGACAGGCACCAGCAGATTGTTGCACTGTAGAAAACGTTCCGAAGAAAAAAACCAAAGTAGTCACTGATGGGGTTATCAGGACAGAAAATCTGTCCTGCAAATAATAATCAGTGGCTAAACAGCAACTGTGCCCCACGCTCTACATCTACACACACACACACACACACACACACACACACACACCCCATACCACACCCTGTGGGGAGTCTTCTTTAAGAACTTGCAGTTCCTGGGCTACGCTGGGCTTTTCTCACTGATTTGGAACACGCTGTACTCTGTCCCTATCGTCTTCGGAGTCTGCCTGACCTAATGAGTCAGCTTAGACATCTTTGCTCCCTCCTGTAGCATGGGGGCCACCAGAAGGCCAATTGCCTTTTTTTGGGGGGTGTCTACCTCAAATTCTGAGCCCCTAAACAGCAGGAATGCCCTTTGTTTTTAGCAATTGTACAGGTCCTGGTTTGGTAAAGACATCACGGAGTACATGTTTAGTGGACAAAGGTGTATTCACTGTGCTGAGAATACCGCACCCCTCAAGGGGACGGGGCAGGGGTGGGGTGGGGAGAAAAACCCAGTCTTGGGTGCTTCCCACTTTATCCTGTGTGTTTTGTTGACTGAGGGACCTGCGCACAGACGTCTAAGAACAACAGTCTCACTGTTGCCAAACCCAGCACAGGGTCATTACCATAGTGGAGTGTCAAGAGGAGCTTTTTCAGAGGCTACAGGGTCTCTCTGGTCGGCCTGGCAATCCCAGGCAAAGTGAAAGCCACTGCCAAGTCCGGAGAACAGTCAGGAGAGTGGGGTGGCAGTGAGCTTCTGCCTTGCAGCTTCCAGCTCACTCTAGCTATCTAGCTGGTAATAAAAGCAAAATGTTAGAGGCAAATGAATAATAATAATGGCCAATGTAAGGCACTTCCCCCTTTCCCAACATTTCGTATTTCCTGGAGTAAATATCTTCCCCTGTGCCTGAGGAACAAGCTATTACTATTCTATTTGCTTATGAGAGAAACTGAGGCACAGGGTACCTCACAAGTGCCAGAGTCAGGACTGTAACCAGATGTTTGACTCCATCATTATTGTTGGTTTGTTTTCTTGAGACAGGTTTTCTCTGTGTAGCCCTGGTTGTCTTGGAACTCACTCTGTAGACCAGGGTGGTCTCGAACTCACAGAGATCCACCTCTGTCTCCCAAGTGCTGGGATTAAAGGTGTGCACAACCACCCAGCCTATCATCACTGTTTATAATGACCGTGGTACACTGAAGCATATTCATTTGGTATTTTATTTATATTATGCATATATGTATATATATTTTTAAAGGTTTATTTGTGCTTTTGTATATGTATGTAAGGAGCCTGAGGAGGCCTAAAGAGGGTGTCAGGTCCTCTGAAGAGCAGCAGGGACAGGCTGCTTATGGAGGTGGCTACTAGAAGTGGAACTCAGGTTCTTGGAAAAAGTAGGAAGTACTCAGAACTGCTGAGCTATTTCTCCAGGTCTTTTGTTTTGTTTTTGTTTTTTTGAGACAGGGTTTCTCTGTGGTTTTGGAGCCTGTCCTGGAACTAGCTCTTGTAGACCAGGCTGGTCTCGAACTCACAGAGATCCGCCTGCCTCTGCCTCCTGAGTGCTGGGATTAAAGGCGTGCGCCACCACCGCCCGGCTCCAGATCTATTTTTATTGTTGTTGTTTCTTACATACATAGTTCTGGCTGTCCTGGAACTCACTGTGTAGATCAAGCTGGCCTCAAACTTACAGAGATCCACCTGCCTCTGCCTCCCAAGAATTAGTCAGAGCCATTAGATTTATTCATTTTATTTTATGTGTGAGTATTTTGCCTGTATGCATGTGTGTACACCACCTGTATGCTTGCTGTCTACAGAGGTTAGATGGGCATCAGAATTTGAGTTACAGAGGGTTGGAAGTTATCATCTAGGTGCTAGGGCTCAAGGCCAGATCTTCAACCCAGGTTGAAGAGCAACAGTGCTCTTAACCACACCATCTCTCCAGCCCCTATTTCATGCATGTATATATGCATGTATGTATGTATTGAGACAGGGTTTCACTATGTGGTTCTGGCTAGATTGGATCTTGCTATATAAACCAAGCTGGTCTTGAACTAGAGATCTACCTATCTCTCTATTTTTACTTTTAGTAATGTGGTGTGTGTGTGTGTGTGTGTGTGTGTGTGTGTGCGCTCGCGCGCGTGCTTGACCCCAGCCATCGTGCAAGTGTGGCGGTCGGTCAGAGGACAGTTTGGAGGAATCTGGTCTCTCCTTTTACCATGTGGGTTCCAGGGATCGAACTCAAACCACCAGGCTTGGCTGCAAGTCCCTTTGCTTGCTGAGCCATTTCACCAGCCCTCACTTGCTCCTTCTCAGTCTACCTAAGAAACTCTGACAGTGGCGCCCTGTACCGTACTCCCTCCCATTCTGTGAGCTCATCAGTAGCTCATTCCAGGGCAGGTGGAGTGATGGACAGGTAGATTTACCCCTTTCAGTGTGGCTCTCCATCCCAGGGACGTTTATGTACACCTCCTCTGGGGCAGAGATGAAGGTCAGGACTTCCCCGACTCAAGTTTCTGGACTGTGTGGCATTGCTACTCCCTGCTCCCAATCGATGATCGCGTCCAGTTTCTGTTGGTCTTGAGTTGGTCAGGCCAAGCAAGACAGCTGGGTCCATAACAAGACCCGGGTGCTTTTGCTGGGAAAAGCTCTCATTTAATCTTCTAGACTCCAGCCGATGGTGGTGGCACCCACCTTTAATCCCAGCACTCAGGTGGCAGAGGCAGGCAGACTTCTTCTGGGAGTTCAACGTCAGCCTGGTCTACAAGAGCTAGTTCTTTTTTTTTTTTTTTTTTTGTTTTTCGAGGCAGGGTTTCTCTGTAGTTTTGGAGCCTGTCCTGGAACTAGCTCTTGTAGACCAGGCTGGCCTCGAACTCACAAAGATCCTCCTACCTCTGCTTCCCAAGTGCTGGGATTAAAGGCGTGCACCACCACCTCCTGGCTACAAGAGCTAGTTCTAGGACAGGCCCCAAAGCTACAGAGAAACCCTGTCTCGAAAAACCAATAAATAAATAAATAAATCTCTAGACTCCAATGTCTCTTTAGCCATTCCCACCCTCACCTTAAAAAAAAAAAAAAAGAAAAGACTCAGAAGGGGTGATATAGGACATTTATTGGATGTTTAAGGAACTGATCCACATAGGTCAGGGGTGGGGACAAAGGCCTCTTCAGGGCTGCCTGGAATGTTGCTAGCAGTCACCGGGGCCATGAAGTGGTGCTGGAGGGGACATCTGGGGCCCACAGGTAGCCTTTCATTGCTTTCCAGTCGTGAGTTCAAGGAGTAACTCTGCCTGGGAGAGTTTGCCCCTGGCACCTCCATGGGGATTGTTGTGCTCAAACCTTGATGGTCACGTGACATCTCCTTAGAGCCTGAAAAAACAGCAATCTTGAGGTGGCATCCTCCCGTAGCCCCTTACCCAGCAGTGTTACACCCCTGGCCAATTTCTCTGCTGATGACCCGAGCACCTCAGAGTGTTCACCGTCTTCAGCGAACCATTCACACAGCAAATATTTAACACTAGACATCATTGCGCCTATGTTTCTCCTTAGTAAGGGACGCCATTTCTAGGGGAGAAAGAACAGACCTTCACCATGTCCCTAGGAAGGCTAAAAGCCATTTAAAAATTGCAAGTCCATTTTCTGGAGGAAGACACAGGCTTATTATACAGCCAGTATGCAGAGGAGCCCGGCTGTTTGTAAAAAAATCTGTTATTCTCTGCTTGAAGAACAGAGACCGGCTGGGTGGTGGTGGTGGTGGTGCATGCCTTTAATCCCAGCACTCTTGAGGCAGAGGCAGAGGCAGAAGCAGGCAGATCTCTGAGTTCGAGGCCAGCCTGGTCTTCAGAGCGAGTTCCAGCCAGGACTATACAGAGAAACTCTGTGTATATACACCACACACACATGTGCATATACAGCCCCACACAATGTACATATTCACCACCACACAATGTGCATATACACCATCACAATGTGCATATACACCACCACACATATGTGCATATATACCACCACACACATGTGCATGCATATACACCCCCACACAATGTACATATACACCACATACACATGTGCATATACACCCCACACAATGTGCATATACACCCCCACACAATGTGCATATACACCCTCACACAATATGCATATACACCACCACAATGTGAATGTCCACCACCACACATGCATACACATGTGCATGTCCACCACCACAGGTGCATATACACCACTGTAGGAGCCCGCTACTACAAAGTCAGTTAGAGCACCTGGGATGAGGGTCATTAAAGTCAAGTGAATGTCAGATGGAAGAAAGAGAGACGGAAGACACAGGATAGAATTGGGAGGTCTGTTTGGTCATGTCAAAACAGGCAAACAGCTCAGAGTTTATTTTAGAACTTATAATACACAAAGGCAGAACAAAGCACAGCACAGACAGTCAGTCAGCATCTAACCACAATTGCGTTCCTGTCCTTGAGTGAGCAGTTGCAATTTCTATCTCAATGTCCCTGAGGCTTGGCATCTGAAGTATTCTTTCTGCTAGATAGTGTGCTCTTTTCTCATGGGCAAAATGCTCTTTCCCCTGGGCTTAATCAGAACTTTCTCACAGTCCTCAAGGATGCAGGCAGAGCAAGCAAGCTTGAACACAAATGACTTCTTTAAGTCAGAATTGACTCCAGATGGAAACCGAGTCACACACGGGCTGCCAACACACCACTACACATGAGCATATGCACCACCACACGTGCATATATGCCACCACACATACAAAAAGAAAATAGTAGTTAATTAAAATGAGAGCTACTTAGAGATGGGGGTATAGCTCAGTGGTAGAACACAAGTTTAACACACATGGGGCTGTAGGTCCAACCCTCAGCACAAATGAAAGAGGCGCACGCTTCATTGATAATGCCACGTATTTCAGACTGACTAGGTACCGTGTAAACATTATCTCTAATTTTTTCCTAAGGTTTCTTTACAGATTCGATTTGTTTAACATTCGAGTCTGGGCTGGAGCCACCACCTGCCAGAAACCTGCCAAAATGACAAACACAAAGGGAGAGGGAAGAGACACCTGATACGTGTGTCCTTTACACGTTTTAGAAGATATGTGTCCTCTGCACATTTTAGAAGATACGTGTGTCCTTTACACGTTTTAGAAGATACCTGTCCTTTACACGTTTTAGAAAATACGTGTCCTCTGCACGTTTTAGAAGATACGCGTCCTCTGCACGCTTTAGAAAGCCTGGGGTTGGCCTTTGGCTCTATGTTTGTGGATCTGCAAGAAAGGGACATTGTTGACATCAAGGAAATAGGTCCCATTCAAAAAAGGCGTGCCCCACAGACTACCGGGCCAACAGGAAGAGTCTGCGGTGTCACCCAGGATGCTGCTGTTGAGCTCATGAAGCTGTGCCAGGGCCAAGAAAGCATTCTGAATGGTGAAGGGAAACGGCCAGAAAAGGAAGGAGATGCAGGAGAAGGATGTCTGGGCTCAACTGAAGAACCAGCCCGTTCTGCATCTCTGTGAGTCGACGACAGTGAAACCGAAGCTTCGGGAGCCTGTTCCCTATGAATTCATGGCTTTTAAAAGGTATTAAGAATGATAATAAAAAGACCTCTAAATGATCCAAGAAACCAAAAACAAGGAGCTGGAGAAATGGTTCAGCAGTTAAGAGAACTTGCTTCTGTTCCAGAGGACAGAGTTAGGTTCCCAGCATCCACACTGGCCAGCTCCGGGGAATCCCACGCTCCCTTCTGGCAGCCGCAGACACTGGATCTACAAGCACAAACCCACACGCGGACACACCCATGTAAACATAACTGAAAGATAATTTTAAAACCAAATAAATAAACTGGGTGTGGTGGTGCACGCCTTTAATTCCAGTACTCAGGAAGCAGAGGCAGGTTGGTGTCTGTGCATTTGAGGCCAGTCTGATCTACAAAGTGAGTTCCAGGACAGTCAGGGCTACACAGAGAAACCCTGTCTCGATTCGGGCGGTGGTGGCGCACGCCTTTAATCCCAGCACTCGGGGAGGCAGAGGCAGGCGGATCTCTATGAGTTCAAGGCCAGCCTGGTCTACAAGAGCTAGTTCCAGGACAGGCTCCAAAGCTACAGAGAAACCCTGTCTCGAAAAACCAAAAAAAAAAAAAAAAAAAAAAAAAACCAAATAGGGCTGAGGGATGGCTCGCTCACAACCAAAACAAATAAATAAGCAATAAAAAGAAATAAAAGCAAGACAGGTGGCGGTGGTGCACACCTTTAATCTCAGCTCTTGGGAGGCAGAGGCAGGCAGATCTCTGTGAGTTCTAGACCAGTCCGGTTTAAGGAGGGAGTTCCAGGACAGCCAGGACTCCACAGAGAAACCCTGTCTTGATTTAAAAACAAGCAAGTAAGCAAGCAAAGAAATAAACAAAAACAAAGGAGCTGTGCCATGAGGACAGAAAACTAATATTAGATCCAGGGTACCCATCCACCTGTCTCCAAAGACCTCCACCATCAGACCCTAGTCCCCGAAGGCCTCAGTTTGTGCCTGCGGTGACCAGTCTAGTCGGGGTTTGAAAGGTTCTTTCCTGCTCGGAGATGAGTCACGGCTAATCACTGATACCTGTGACTAACGATGTGATTCACAGATGTCACCCTACGTGTGTGTCATCAAAACGCAGTGGGATCTGGGGTGACTGAGCCCTCCAAGAGTGCGGTGGTGGTGGAAGCCACCATGAAGTTTGAGGCAGCTGTCGTAAAGAACTGTGTGCAGCCTGAAAGGCAAAGGTCTGCCTATGAGCTAGTCTGGGGACTGGAGTGCATGACCGCTCTTCTTGGGGCTTAAGTGTCCTTCCTGTAAGACAGGAGCATCAGAACTGGGTTTCAGGTTCCTTGGGGGTTCTGGACGAGAATGGCTGATTAATGAACTCTTTCCAGAGGAAAGTGAAAGCAAAAGTTGAATTTTTTTTTCTTCTTCTGATTTTTCTGGGTTCCTTAAATGGGCTTGGGGTGGAACATCATCTCCATCCTCACTGTCCTTGTCTGGTCTCCAGACAGAATGGGTAGCCGCTACCTGCAGAGAAGTGGAGCTGTGATGTGTTTGAAGTCCAGGACTGGGCAGAACACAAGAGCAGAACCTCAGTCACCATTCTGATCTAGCTGTTCCTCCCAAAGAATCCACTAAGGAAGTTGTGTGTACTTAGCATGTGTGAGGCCTTGCATTAGATCCCCAGCCCAGGGGGGAATGAGAAGAGGAAAGGAGGGAGGAAAGAGGAAAGTTTCTGTCTCTATTGCAGGTCAGGTTTGGGAGATAGGATGGGATGGGGTGGTGGCAGAATCCTAGGCATGGGGAAGAAACCGTCAGAAGTGGCTTTTTCATAACCACTTGCCAAGGTACCTGCCACACCACCTTTGCCCCATCATTCAGAGAGATAAACACACATACACACACACACACACACACACACGTATTCACACTCACAGACATACACACACACTGACTTACACACACAGACAGACAGACACACATAAATATATACAGACACACATAGACACACATAGACACACACATAGACACACAGACACACAGACACACACAAACATACACACACAGACACACATAAACATATTCAGACATACACATACATATAGACATACACACACATTGACACACAGACACACACACATGCACACACACAGACAGACTTACAAACACAGAAATACACAGACACACACATGCACAGACACACATATACACACAGACACACACAGACATACACACAGACATATACACACAGACAGACATACACATGCACAGACACGTACAGCGATTGCACTTGAAAGCCTGGGAGATCTGCCTGGCATCCCAAACACACACGCTCACTCTCTGTAGGGATTTGGTCATTTCCCTTGCTAAGTCTTGCTTTTTTTTTTCTCCTGTAAAATGGGAACCATGATCTCTCCTGTCTTATCAAAGAGCAAGACAGCAAAGCAAATGGAAGCAGGAGTCTATAAAGGGGAGAAGATCTGGTAAAAAACAAACAGTGTGTGTGTGCGTGTGTGTGCACGTGTGTGTGCGTACATACACACATACATACTCTGGCTTAGTGTTGTGGGTATAGAGGAAAGGGGGGGGCAACACAGTGGAGACCTAGGGACTAGAGCTGCATTTGTTCAGATGGCAGAGGCGAAATCAATCATTTAGTAAAAGGTCAACAGATGCATTTTCCATCTTTGAAACATGAGAAAGAAACAAAAGGAAAGAGTATGTGCTGTCCCAAACCTTGGTGACTAAATAACCCGGCTGGCTGCTGAACGTGGAGAGTCTCCATCTCAACTGTCAAGGACAAACCATATGATCTCTAAGCCAGAAAGGCTGGGGTGGGAGCGGGGGTGGGGAATAGAAAGACCCTGAACAGCCACATCCTGGGCTTGACACAGAGAGGACAGGGCTTGAGAGGCAGAGAGGCATGCTGGAATCCCAGGACCACAGCATCTCTGAGACCTGGCTGTCCCAGCTGTATGTGAGTGACACCCATCTCACCGGGGCAGTGGGGAAGGCTAGGTGAGAGGGTACATGCGCAGTTTCAGAGTACCATCTGGCACACAAGAGGGGCTTCCCTTTCTCAGAACATGGGTAAAGGGAGGGAGAGATGGAGCTGGCCAGTTACTCAATCACTAGGTGACTTTGAACCTGTTTCCTCACCTGTGCGACGAAAGTGGTGGTGACTGTCCTTGTCCAGTGAGCATGCAGAAGAAACTGGAGAGTCCATTCAGGGAGGGTTCGTCCCTGTAACGCCTGTATAAATCTCACTACCCCAGCACATCAGTTCACGTAGCTCCTTGCACTGATAAACTTTTAGCTGGCTTCCTCTGGGACAGGCTGTCCTGATATCTATTGTACCGTCTTCATCTAAAGGAGTCATCTCACAAGGAGGGACCATCAGACACAGAACTGCTGGGTTACAGGACACACAGGTTTTTAGCATACGAAGATCATTCCACGAAGTAGTTGAATCAATTTATATTCCTGCCGGCATTGTGTTATATTTCCTATTTCCCCTCCAGCTTTCTCACTGTTACTGTGACCCATCTCTGAACTTCTGTCAGTGTTTTATTTCTCTTTATTTTACGTGTGTGTTAGTTTGCTTGTACATGTGTAGGTGTACCACGTGTGTGCGTTACCCTCAGAAGGTAGCAGATCCCCTGGCATTAAAGGAGCCTGTGAGCTGTGTGTAGCATGACTAATAAAAACCCAGAGAGAAAGCCGGGCGGTGGTGGCGCACGCCTTTAATCCCAGTCCTGGGGAGGCAGAAGCAGGCGGATCTCTATGAGTTCGAGACCAGCCTGGTCTACAAGAGCTAGTTCCAGGACAGGCTCCAAAACCCTGTCTCGAAAAACAAAACAAAACAAAACAAAACAAAAAAACAACCCAGAGAGAGATTGGGGTTCAACCTGAAGATCAGAAAAGCAAAGCAGTCAGCCACTGGAGAGCTCTTACCGTCTTACCTCTAAGAAGTCCTTAGACTGAAAGATATTAATCGTGCTGCAACTGTGAGTGTTCTCTTTTCTTTTTAGTTTATCATTATTTTCTTTAAAGCCGTGTGTGTGTGTTTGTGGTGTTTGTGTGTGTGTGTGGTGTTTGTGTGTGTGTGGTGTTTTTGTGTGTGTGGTGTTTGTGTGTGTGTGGTAACACCTCTGTTGGAGTCAGATCTCTCCCGCCTTACACAGGTTCCAGGGATTGAAATCACTGTCAGGCTTGCCCAGCCCAGCCAGTGGCTTTATGTGCTGAACCATCTCAGCAGTCCGAAAGGTCCATCATTCTTGAATTGCGTTCTCCTGACTATTAATCTCTTCATGTGCACTGTGAATTTTGTTGTGTTATGGCTGTTTGTTTGTTTGAGATAGTCTCATAATTCCAGGCTGACCTATAACCAAGGGCAACAGTGAACTAACTACTGGTCCTCCTGTTCTTTTCTTCTTTCAAAACAGGGTTTCTCTGTGTAGCTCTGGCTGTCCTGGAATTTGTTCTATAGACCAGGCTGGCCTCGAACTCAGAGATCCTCCTGCTTCTGCTTGGAGTGCTGGGATTAAAGGGGTGCACCACTACCACCACCCAGCAATCTTCCTATTTCTACCTCCCAAAAGGCTGGTATTACAGGCATGTGCCGCCACACCAGGCTTGTATTTGGCTTTTATTATGATTATACTTTTCTCATTTGTTTAAAGGTGTGTTTCTATATTCTGGATATCAGCCCTGTCTTATTTTATGTGCAGTGAGTCCCACTTATCCACAGTAGTTACGTAGTTATGTATTATAAAGTTCCCACAAATGCTGAGTTAGCAAATACTAAAGCACCGCTGAAACAGGCTTGGTGGCAACTTGGTGTTGGAGGAAGGAGGATCAGGAGTTAAAGGTTATGCTTGGCCTGCGTAGTGAGTTACAGGCTAGCCTGGGCTGTATGAGACTTTGTGTTCTAGGAAGAATATAAGATGAGGTTTCTGTGTGCCTTTGGTCATGACATTTTTGGCAATCAATACTTAACTTTTAGGTGCTGTTGATTAAAGACACCTGATTTAATATATATTTCTTTTAAAAATGTTTATTTTATTCTTATGTGTATGGTTGGTTTGCCTGAATATATGTCTATGTACCATGGGCACACCTGGTGTTCTGGGAGATCAGAAGAGGGTATTGAGTCCCCTGGAACTGAAGTTATAAACAGTCGTGAGCTGCCACCTGGGTGCTGGGAAATCTAACCCAGGTCCTTTGGAAGAGCAGCCAGTAGTACTCTTAACTGCTGAGTCATCTCTCCATTCCCATGATTTATTATATATTTTTGATTTATTAACATTGCACTCAAGTCCTTAGGTCAGACATTTAGCATTCTGTGTTCTTCACGAAGCACACAGTGTTCTTATGCTGCGGGGCACTAGACAGCGCTTAGGAAATGTATCCAGAGGCATTTCAACAGAGCGGCTATCAGTGAACATCACAAACATGGAACAAAGTGTCTCTAGACAGACACAAAGAGGACACAAACTTACAGAGTGTAGCCTTGAATGACATCATCTGGGACATGTGCACCTCAAATTTTTGCCACTCTGTACATAACCTCATAAGTGTCTCAAGTACTGATTTTGAGGTTACAAATACATTTTAGTAAGTAAGCAAGTTAAATATACAACCTGAGAAGAGGATTACTATGAAGATAGATGTTTCACACACACCATACACACACACACACACACACCATACACACACACACCATACACACACACCATACACACACACACCATACACACACACACACCACACACACACCATACACACACACACACCATACACACACACACACCATACACACACACACACACACACATGCAATCTTTGTAGTCCATCATTTTTTTAACTTCACATATGATATCTTATATCATTTGTATCTGACTTAGGCAAATTAATCAATTTATTCTTCAGCTCAGGTTTTTTCCCTATCCCTGACTCCACAAGGAGACAGATGAACCCTTCCACTTTCAACCATCTTCAGAATCCTAGAGGAGTTTAGGGCTGTCACTTGTTGCCTTCTTAAAGAAATTTTTAGAAAATGAATCTCTTACAAATGACAACATCCGGAGTTCTCCATCTTTCTCTGAGATGGAGGAATTCTCCACCTGCCCTTCTTCCTCCCTGATGCTCACCATCTTTGCCTCTGCTGCTCAAGTTCCTCCCCTACCTTGCTGGCCCTAGTCTTTGTGGCACCCCCACCAGTGACCCTACTACTGCACGGGTCTCGGTCAGCCCTGCCCACACCTTTATCCACCTCCTGCTCACCCTGCCTTCCCTCCTCTGTCCCACCTCATCATCTTCTTCACTGGCTCAAGGCTGCTTAAAGCGGACACAGTCGGTATCAGGCAGGGTTGTTCTTACACGCCTGCGTTGCCCATGTGTAGCGGGCAGAGGAGCATGCCTTTGAGAGAAGAAGCCCAGGCTGGACCTCATTTCATTTGTCAGCCGGGAGTGAGTCTCCAACCCTCTCTCCGCCCCAATACTCTCACCTGTGATGTGGAGACGACACCCACCTTGGCCACTGTCCACTCAACGGAGAATTTTTTTTAGCTAACATGGGCTTGGATCTTTCACAGTTCCTTGCCAGAGGTTATAAAGTGTGCAGTGTGGGCTTAGGAAAAGGCAATGCATCTTTTTTTGTTCCATTTGGGCTTCTCAATGGCCCAGGCTTGAGGAGGAATGGATAGTCAGGACAGCAGACTATGAGAAATAAAGTCCTGTATTTGCTTTCTGATGAAATGTTGACTTTTGAGAAACAGCAAGTTTGTTGAAAACACTATCTTAGAAAATCCGCCGTGCGTACTCTCTGTGTGAGGATGGAGGTTGAGGGCATTGGGCACCCTGATGAGGACCAAGCACACGAGGTCTGATAGGGTCAGGTCCCAGACCTCCTGTGAAGTGTGAATGGTGCAGAACACTCAGGAGGTGAATGCTCTCGAGCTCATTTCTCCTTTTCCTTTCTTTCACTTTCTTTTATCCCCCCCCCCCCTCTGAGACAGGCCTCACTATGTAGGGCAGGCTGGCTCAGTCTCAGAGATCTGCCTGCTTCCACCTCCTAAGTGCTGGGATTAAAAGGACACTCTCCCATACCTGGCCCTCTAGATCTCATTTCTAATTCTCCCTCCTCTGCAAAGAAAGGTTTGAGCCTGCCCATCACAAGGACACCAGATAGCTTCTCTCTTACCTGTTGTCGCTAAGCTTAAGCCTGGGTCCAGCTTCGTGTGGGGCTTTGAGCTGATGAACAGGTAGCAGAGCACACACGCAGTGACGACGAAGGCCAGAAGGACCACGGCTGCTGTGGAGAGGCCCACGAGAGCGCCCACGCTGGGAAGAGAAGATGACAGGGGGAGAGAGTGCTGGCGAAGGCAGAAGCCTGCATGCTAGGAATCAGCTTCAACTTTCCGGCTATATCTGAGGAATATCAGTGGGGGTCTTCTGCCTGGCTGTGCTCTCCAGCCCATTACATGTGCACACACTAACCCAAGCACACATACAGCAAACTACCACCAAACTGTCTCTGGGTATAATGCAGGCTATAGATATCCAGCCATATTCCCTTGGGTCCAATCATGGTGGGATACTCATACAGTTTCAGTTGCCAGCATCTGTAGCTCTTTGCCTGAGGACTTTCTTAGACCCAGAACAAAATTCTACTCATTGAACAAGTCAGGACTATGGGATAATTAATGCTTCCCTCCCTTGACCTTCCCTTAACCACAGTAGTGTGTACATCCCCAGCTCCTGAGTCTTCTGGGGGTGTAACTCAGGTAATCATTGAACGCTGACTGGCAGACACTAAGCGCTGGTTACCGCTGTGTGACTTGTTGGTAACATAATCTATCCTTGGTGTTTTCTCTCTGACTCATTTTCCCAACCTCTATCAGTGTTTTCTGGGATCACTTTCCATAAAAGACTACTTAGCTGAGTGTAATGGCGCACGCCTTAATGGGAGGCAGAGGCAGGTGGATCTCTGCAAGTTCAAGGCCAGCCTGGCCATAGTGAGTTCTACAATAACCAGGGCTACACAGAGATTTTTGTCTAAAAACCAAACCAAGCAAGCAGCAAAACCTCTTTGTCTCTTTGCACAAACCAACACACCCCAGCTCCCTTTTTTGTATTCCTTTCTTCTGTCTTCCTCCATATTTCCGGTACTGGTTACGCGGTGCTTAGCTCTTGTTGATGCTGAAATGGTTATCTTGGGCCGGGATGTAGCTTACCTGGTGAAGGGCTTGCTCAACTTGCAAGTATGAGGACTCAAGCACAGTACCCAGACCCATGTGGTGGTGTGCACTTATAATCCAAGCACTGCACAGATGGAGACAGGAGGCTGCCTGGCCCACTGAGCAGCCAGTCTAGTGAGCCCAAGGCTAAGGAGAGAACTTTCCTCAAAGGAGGTGGACGGTGTATCTGAGAATCACACCTGAGGTTGACTGCTGGCCCCCACGCATGCAAGTGTGTATGTACAACCACACACACACACACACGGATAGACACATACACACAGAGACACACACAGCTAGACACACACATACTCATACACAGACACATACACACACAGACACACATATACGCACACATGCATTAAAAGAACATCCAGTAATTTTCTCATTTGAGATACACTTATTGTTCACGGGGCTGCCAGTTGGTAGACCCGTGTGCAGATGCTTACCAGTGACTTCTATGAGCACCAGGATGGGGAAGTGGCCTCTGGAACTTTCCAGAGAACTTTTGTGGAATGGATAAGAAGACTGGAGGATGTGTCCCTAACTGGAGGTGAGTTAGGGAGCAAATGCTGTCTCTGAAAATTACTGTCCTTGGTGTTCTGTCTGGGGACTAAAGGTATACAGAGACAGGAACAGGCTCTGAGTGGGGAACCTGGTTTCAGTACCAGACGAACTTAAACAGGTCAGCGTTGTCTAGTGGGGGGAGGCACTGTCCCCAGAGTGGGGTGAGTTCCTCATGAGAAGAGATACACACAGGACAGATGAAGTCAGCACCCTGCTCTGCACAGAGGCCAAACTAGAGGCTTCTGGACTGAGGAGGTTTCACTGCATTGACTCTAAAGGACAAAGACCCGCTGTGACCCCCGAGAAGGCACTGAAGGAGCCCTAACAGGCTCCAAGATCAAGTTCTTTTCAAGGTTTGAATCCCGACTCTGCCATGCGTCAGGGAAAACACGGTTTTGCTTTTCTGATCTTCATTTGTGAATGTTGCCATCTTACCAGGTGGCCACAAGCATGCTGTGAGATGGAGTTTGCACTACCTGGCCACCAACTCTGCCCTTCAGCTGCTTGCCTTCTGTCACACTCTGTTAGAAAGGAGCTGGAAGGAGGTTTTGGTAACTGGGCCAGATGGCGCAGTTATAGCAGCCGCTTCTCTACGGGATGTCTTCTTTCTGAGATGATTAGCTTTTAAAGATGGCTTTTTTTTCTCCCCTCAAACTCTCTCAAAGGATACAGTGTTTACCTGGAGATTTTTTTTTTTATGCCTGCAAGAATGAAATTTCATGAAAAAGGCCAAGTGAAATTTGGAACAAAACAAGGTCTCCATGCCGCAGGGACACTGTCACCACGTGAGCTCTGTCAGAAGCACGTGGTTCAGAGTTCAGAGCACAGTAATCATCCTGAGGACCTTCAGCTCTATGCTTAGCAACTGTCTTGATGTTTACGAACCATATGTTAGAACCCAGGAAGTGGGGTCAGCAGTTAAGAGTACTGGCTGCTCTTCCCGAGGACCAGCATCCCGTCTCCAGCACTCACACGACAGCTGACAACCTTCTGTGACTCCAGTCTCTGATGCCCTCTTCCGACCTCCACAGGCACTGTGTGCACAGACACACCCACCCCACCCCCCAGCGAAAGAACCCAGGAAGTCGCTTCACACATTGGAAACTTTCAGCTGTTTTGGGGGTCACACTGACACAGGATCTGACCTTAAAGCGCTCCCTGTCCAACCCTCCACTGAAACCTGTCTAAGCCACTAAACTTGAGGAACTAAAGCATTCCATTGGGAGAAGGTTTCCAAGACAACAGGAGAGGTCCCCAGAGGTGAGTAGATAGGGAGTGATGGAAGAGAGGGAAGGATTGCCACCTGGGGACTTGGGGGCTTGGGGTCTGTGCTTCTCTGTATCCTGAGGGTACAGCACAGCAGTCAGATGACAACAGTCAGTGTATGGTTTGGGGAGAGCTGAGGACATCAGCTGTCTGTCAGAAGCCAGAAAGGGTTCAGACAGTCATGGAACAGGACTAGTCTGGGTTTGGGGTCATCTCAGCTCTGTCACTTCTCAATGGGGTACTTGCAATAGCAATGTAACCCCTCTTAAGTCTCTCCATCTGTAAAATGGAGCGTTGTCTTAGGTTTTTTTTTTTTTTTTTTTTTTTTTTGATTTTTCGAGACAGGGTTTCTCTGTAGCTTTTGGTTCCTGTCCTGGAACTAGCTCTTGTAGACTTGGCTGGCCTCGAACTCACAGAGATCCGCCTGCCTCTGCCTTCTAAGTGCTGGGATTAAAGGCGTGCGCCACCACCGCCCAGCTTGTCTTAGGGTTATGTATACATGGGAACATGTAACCCACCCTAAGCCCATCTCTGCCGTCATAGTGCTGAAGTCGGGGTTCACTTTGAAACTCTGAGCTTTGCATCCCACACAGATGCGAAAGGAAACCCTTTCCTACTGAGTACCTGCTCAGTGCACTGAGCACCCCGCGTGCAACACAACCACCTCACTCCCTCCTTGCACTTTGCCTTCTGGAAGGCAAGCATTCGTACTGCTCTACCTTTTATATTATCTTATTGAGACAGGATCTCCTGGGGACTTGAGGCTGGCCTGGCACTCACTATGTACCTCTAACTGGCCACAACATCACCCATATTTTCTCTGCCTCAAGTCTTGCAAGTGCTGGGCTTACAAGTGTGAACCACCATGCTTGGAATTTTCCAGTCCACAAACTGGGAGGTTAGCGCCAAGGTTTGTGCCAGGTTCCGAACAGATCACAGCCCCACACCGTTCCTGCACCTCAAAGGCAATCATCTTCCTTCAGTCTTATAGCAGTGCTAAACACAGTGAGACTTCAACAGATACTGTGCTGTTTTACATGGTGTAGGTTCTGCAGCTCTAACCCAGCAGTTTTCAACCCATGGGTCTCGAACCATTTGGGGGTTCACCTAAGGCCATCAGAAAACACGTATTTACAATATGAATCATAACAGTAGCAAAATGACAGTTATGAAATAGCAATGAAAATAACTTTATGACTAGGGTCACCACAACATGAGGAACTGTATTAGAGGGTCGCAGCATTAGGAAGGCCGAGAACCACCCGGGGGCTTGGTGATATGCTCAGTGTTAGTACTTGTTGTGATATGCCCAAGGCCCTGGGTTTGATTCTCACAACAAGAATGGAAGGTCCTTTTGCAGGGAATAATTGGTTTTCTATCCCCATTGCCTTGCACAAAGACACTATAGCGAGGATTATAATAAAGGGATAAACACACGGGAGCAGGCTATTAGTGTGATTCCTTGGGCTTTTAGACAGCAGCCAAATGTGCAGGATACGATAGCCTGGTCGTCTGAAAATGTTTGAGAATTACAGATTGAACACCTTAGAAAAAGCTATCTTTGTCGCTGTAATTGCAATACATCAAGTTGCTTTCATCTCTTTCTTGGTCCTTGCCTCTCTCTGCCTTAATCAGAAATCAGGACAGCGATGGGTCGTTCTCCCCACGGGTAGCAAAAGAGACAGAAAGACTCAGCCGGCTCAGCAGCTAACGATGTTCTTCTCCCACCCAGACAGCACACAGTCTTCTGCTCACACACTGTTAGGGACAGAAAACTCTCGATTACCTCTTTCCCGGAGCAGATTGACGGCCAGGCTCTACTTTGTGGACGAAACCTTTGGAGACTCAGAGGGATTCGGACCTACTGACCCTCAGTGCCATGCTTAGGTCTCAGGGTTGTCAGAGTTGGCCCAAGCAACCCTGCCCCCGAACAGCCAGAGAAACTAAAGTGTGTTCACCCAGACCATGCTCTGTACTGAAACGGCTGGAGCTGGCCTCTGCTACGGCAGCACTGTGTCACACTGGACTTGCAGGGAGCTTTAGTACAAGCATAGGCTACGTTTCCAGGACGCACGCAAGTGTCCAGTAGAGTGAGAGGGAGGGAACAGGCTGAGGCTAGGCTGAGATGAGGGTGGCATGCGGCATCGGTTGAGGATGAAGGCTTGAGGCATACGGTGTGGATGTGGGTCTAGACTAGAGCTTACTGAAGTCATGATGTGGGTTAACAGGGGGGTTTGCAGGCAGGCTTGAGGAGAAAGCTGGGAAGGTGACAGTTAGGACAGGGACTTCGTAAAGCTGGGAATGGGGATGGGTCCAGCATCTGGGACAGCCCCCAGAAGGGTGAGCAACTGTGGGAGGACTAAGGGTAGAGTTTGGGATGCCTCTGTATGTCTGAGATAGCATTTGCTGTTAGGGCAAGAGCTGGCTTGTGATTTGGGATTGGGTTGCGTGGGTGGGTGGGGGCAGCAAGAAGCTCAGAGTAGGGACAGAGGGAGAGTTTCGGGGCAGTGCTGGTCAGGTTCAGGCACGGTTCCAAATAATGGTTGGGGTCAGGATGAAGGAAGAGTTGAGATGGGGCTTCAAGAGTGCGATGGTTAGTGATAAAGTGAGAGGAGGGTCAGTATTGACAAGGAGGAGAAAGGATGGTTTGCGGTATGGGCACTTAGATGAAAGTGGAGGCTTAGCAAGAGGCTAGCCTACAGGTAGGAGAGTGGGTTAAGGGTTCAAGGTGAGATTAGGGTCAGAGCCTGTACCTGAGCCACCACATGTAGCTGTGCTCGTAGGGGAAGAAGCTGTGCGGGTCGTCGCAGCAGTATTTGTGGTCGCGGAAGCCACAGCAGAAGACAGCAGCCGCCTCGCCCCCCGGCAGCGGGCAACTGAAGCCGCGCACCACCTCCTGCTCCGCGCTCACGTAGCTCGAGCAAGAGCCGCTCATCTCGCCTTCTTGGACCCCCAGACGGAAGGCAGGCCAGCGAGGGACTGAGGGAGACCCAACGGATCCCGGGAAAGAGACGGGGGTGGAGGAGCGAGGAGGGGGGGCAGGCAGGCAGGAAAGCGCGCAGGCAGAGGCGCGCAGAGAAAGGCACAGCAAAAGGCGCGGATGCGCGGTGAGGACGGGGCGCCCGGGGACCCGGTGGACAGGTGCGCGGGCGCGGAGGCAGGGGAGCGCGCAGGGACCCAGTTCGAGCAGAGACCTGCCTCCGCCCCCCGAAACACCACACCAGGGCTGGGGAGGCAAAGTGGACACTTGACCTCGACTGCGCGAGGTAACACCTTCCCCGGGCGCCAGGACCCTTGTCGGGAGGTTGTGTGCTACACAGGAGACAGGCAGATGGGGTCCTCTGGGGTTGAGGAATACACTACTCTATTTAACTGGGATTTTCATTGTATAGACGGCAACTGAGTGGGGATCAGAGACAAGTCATTTATTTCCCCAGGCTTCTGAGCCCATGGGATCTCAACCCTGCTGCTGCCTTGTTGGTTCTCAGCAAACCTCTTTCCCAGTGGGCCTCGTGTAGTCCACACTGGCCTTGCCGTCCTGACGACCTTGCCTCCCACTTCCAAATATTGTGATCCCGGGTGTGTGCCTCCACACCCCGCTCTAGTAATCTTTTAAAAGTCTTCATTTCTACCTTCTTTACCTGTGTTTTCTTTCCTCTCCTGGTCCCTCCTTCACCCACAACGCGGGCCTGTTAGCACTTCCTGCTGTTGGCCAGGGACAACAGGGAAGAAGCCTATTCCCTGCCTCAATTAGGGGCTGCAGCCTTCACAACTTGTTCCCAGACTACAAGGGCAACATTCTCATTCCTGTCTGAAGGAGTTTCCAGATCCTGGGTTTCCCCAATGTACCCTGAGAGGGCAGACAGAAGATCACTAAGGACTTACCCAGTTTCTCAGAGCCTTAGCTCTGTGTGTGTGTGTGTGTGTGTGTGTGTGTGTGTGTGTGTGTGATGTGAGTAGGGGAATCATGAATCCGAAGGGGTCTGGGTATAAGCTCAGCTGACTCCTTCCCTGCTCCTCCCTGTACTCTTCCCCCTTTGTCTTCTAAGGCAGCTCCACAGATGCTGTTGTGTTTCCAGTCCTGACTTGGGTACCTGAAAGGGTCAGATCTGGGCCTGCCCTTGAGAAATAGTTTGGTGCTGGTCGGTCGGTGGTGGCGCACGCCTTTAATCCCAGCACTCGGGAGGCAGAGGCAGGCGGATCTCTGTGAGTTCGAGGCCAGCCTGGTCTACAAGAGCTAGTTCCAGGACAGGAACCAAAAAGCTACAGAGAAACCCTGTCTCGAAAATAAAAAAAAAAAAAAAAAAAAAAAAAAAAAAAAAAAAAAAAAAAAAAAAAAAAAAAAAAAAAAAAAAAAAAAAAAAAAAAAAAAAAAAAAAAGAGAGAGAGAGAGAGAGAGAAATAGTTTGGTGGAGGAATCAGAGTGAATTCATAACAGAGAGGTCAGTGGAGGAATCGACACAGGACTCGGCAGAGGACGGGGGATACCGGGATTATAGATGTGGAGGAACTCTATGTAAAAGGACAGGGAAGGGTTTGAGAGGGTGATGACTTTAACGGTCACCATGTATGTAGTAAACAAAAACAATAAACAGAAAAGGAGTCAGATTTGATGGCATGTACCAGTAGTTCCAGGTATTCAGCAGGCTGAGGCAGGAGGATGGCTTGAGCCTGCCAATACAGAGATCATTTCAACAGTAAACAAAAACTTACCTCTGGCATAGAGTACTGTCTGCTTAGCATGCACGAGGCCCCAGAGTCTGTCATCAGTACCTCAAAGCCAAGAGGAACTGTCATTATTCCCAGACAAGCCTTTCCTGAGCTGTGATCACTGAAGACTGAAGAAGGTGCACCTTGACCTCCATCTACCAGAAGAAGGTGGGGGTAGGGGTGGGAAATGGGAGGTTGGGGGTGGGAGTCCTTTGGGAAGGAATGAGGCCTCATCGAGACGAGGTCAGCAAAACTGGGAAGACAAGTCCCCAAACCCTTTTAGGATTATGTCCCCAAGAGAAACAAGCACAATGTCACACAGTCACCCATCAGTGGCCCAAGTACAAGCGGTGGGTGCCATGACTGTCTGACCAGGAGTTCCTTTGGATTCTTGATGAAGCCTAGGGGCCTCTACTAATAATGATGTTTTTAATTGCAAAGGAGACATTATTTAGGATCATACAGGCTGTCAGATGCATTGAGTGGCAATTTAATCCTGCTGTTTAAAGTGTCAACAAGATTGCTGAGTCTACTAAGCACTATAATTTTGAAGTCATTTCTAAAGTGACGGAGCTGTAGACAGCACTTTTGTGCCTTCGTTTTTGTCATTTATTTACATTCTAGAAGGAAGTGCTGAAGTCCAGTTGGGGCTAGTGCTAACAAAGCTGTACTTCCCCCTCCAAGTTCAGACCGTTTCACTGCATCCAAGGATTCCGAGCACTTGTGGTCTTGTGCTAAACTCATCGTTCTCTGGTCTAGCTCCTTCCCTAGTATTTGCTCCTTTGATAGACCTATTATGTTCCTTCATAATATTTTTCTGAAGACATTAATTGCTCACTTATTGCATGCCAGGCAGTGTGTGTGTGTGTGTGTGTGTGTGTGTGTGTGTGTAAGCATGCTCATGAGCCATGGTGCACATGACTTTTCAATCCTCCCATCATATGGATCCTGGGGATGAAATGTGTGTTGTTAGGTTTGGTAACAAACACCCTTTCCCTCTGTCTTAATTAGGGTATTTATTGCTGTGAAGACACACCATGACTATGGCAACTTTATTATTATCATCATCATCATCATCATCATTATTTTGTTTTTTCAAGATAAGGTTTCACTGTTTAGCTCTGGCTCTCCTGGAACTCACTTTGTAGACCAGGCTGGCCTCAAACTCATGGAGCTCCACCTGCCTCTGCCTCCTGAGTGCTGGGATTAAAGGTGTGCTCCACCACCACCTGGCCAGGGCAACTCTTATAAAGTAAAAAATTTATTCGGGGGTAGCTTGCTTACAGTCTCAAAGGTTTGGTCCATCACCATCACAGCGGGGAGCAGGCAGATGTGGTCCTGGAGTAGTAGCTGAGAGACCTGTATCTTGCAAGCAACAGGAAGTGAACTGAGGCACTGGGTGGTATCCTAAGAACAGGAAACCTCAAAGCCCAGTCCTACAGTGACACACATCCTCCAACAAGGTTATACCCACTCCAATAAAGCCACATCTCTTACTAATGCCACTCCCTGTGAGATTAAGGGGCGAATTACATTCAGACCACCACACCTTTGAACCATCTTGCCAACTGAAAACATCTTTCGAGGTGGGTGCTTATTTTCCCATTTTGCAGACGAAGTGACTGAGACTTGAGGAGGCTACATGACTTTTCCAAAGCCACGAGTCCATCAGGGTTTTATACCATTTACCCTCCCAAGATGAAGTCTGTGGACCAAAATCTCCCATCGCCCGAAGGGACAAAGAGTGTAGGAGCGTATAGAGAAGAGGGTGGGCAGGGGCATCTCAACCTGCTGAGAACCAACTGGAAACTAATATTTGTGTTCATGCTTTCCCTTGTCTCTTTACTCCTCACACCGACCTGCACAATAATATTTTCTTCATCAAAAAAAAATTAGCTAGTGTAGAGGTGGGCACCCTTAAGACCAGCACTTGGAAGGCAGAGGTAGGAGGGTTGCAGCAAATTCCAAGCCAGCTAGAGTTGCATAGCAAGACTTTATCTTATTAAAACAAACAAACAAATAAACAAACAAAACTGGAGCTGAGGATAAGGTAATAGGGATGGTGCAAGCTTTTAATCCCAGCACTTGAGAGGCGGAGGTAGGAAGATCTCTGAGTTCAAGCCCTGCCTGGTGTACATAGCAAGTTCCAGGACAGCCAGGGCTATACAGAGAAAATCTGTCTTAGAAGACAAAAGCATCCCCCAACAAAAAACAAACAAACAGCATTAACAAAATGCATAAGTATCTGTTATAAAATAATACATTTAAAATGTCAATAATTAAAAGAAAAACTGGTCCATAGTGTTCTCTCTCTCTCTCTCTCTCTCTCTCTCTCTCTCTCTCTCTCTCTCTCTCACACACACACACACACACACAC